GGGGAAAAGGGAAAAGGAGGGAAGGGGAAAAGGGAAAAGGAGGGAAGAGGAAAAGGGAAAAGGAGGGAAGGGAAAAAGGGAAAAGGAGGGAAGGGGTGCCAGCAGGCCCTACCATCCTCGGGGTGCCCCTCGGTGCTCAGCCCCTCACGCCCCACGTCCGCCAGCACCGTCGGCACCTTCTTGAGCCGCGTGTGGGACTTGCGCTGCCGCACCATGAACCCGCCAATGCCTGGGGGGGCAGAGGGGGGGATCACAGTGTGCCCAGGAGGGCTCACAGCAGGGCCTGGGGGGGGTCAGGGCCCGGGGGGCACTCACCGGGCCGGTAGGGCTTGCGCTTCCTCTTCTTGCACTCCTCGGGGTCCTCCAGCCCCTTCCCCGAGTCCCCGTCGGCGCCGACGTCGCGGTCGGGGCTGGCCGGAGCCTCCAGTTTGATCTCGCACTCCATGTGCTCCACACCCACTGCCATGGGGGGATAGGACACTTCAGTGGGGTCCCTCTGGCACCCCCCACGCCGCACCCACCCGGCTCTCACGCCGGGAACACCCACCCTCAGCCTTGAGCAGCTCGTCGGCGTCCAGGTCACCGTCCTTCTTGTCCTCAGGGCCCAGGGGGTCGCCCCCCTCGAGCCCCCCGTCCCCGTTGAGGGCTCCGGGGCGGCCCTTGCGCTGCCGCCGCTTGTGCAGGGGCGACAGGGTCAGGTTGCGCAGCACGGCCATGCCCGTCTCCGTCAGCCACACGCCCTCGAAGCGGAAATACTGGGGCTCTGGGGGAACAAACACCACGTTGGGGACAAGTGCCAGGGCTGGGTGCATGGCCAGAAGCGGGCACGGCACCGGGGACCCCGTGGCACCGTCGCAGCACCGCACGTACCCGGATCCTTGGCCTTGGCCATCTCTGCGGGAGGCACGGGCGCTGTACAGGGAAGCAGAGGGGCAGGTGAGTCCCCACGTCCCACAAACGTCCCCCGAGCCCTTCTCTGGGTTCCCTGCACCCCGTGGGCTCACCGGGTTTGATCACGTAGGGCTGGCAGGCGCTGCAGTCGAAGCCTTCATCCGCAGCCTGCTCCACCTCCTCCTCGGTGAAGAGGCTGTCGCACGCCGCGTGCAGCCACCTGCGGGCAGGGGGACCTGTCACACCCCACGGCCACCCCCGGGGACCCCAAATTTCACAGAATCACAGAATACGCCGAGTTGGAAGAGACACACACAATGACCATTGAGTCCAACCCTCAGCCCTGCACAGGACACCCCAAAATCCCACCACGTGCCTGAGAATATCATCCAAACGCTCCTTGAGTTCTGGCAGCCTTGGGGCTGTGCCCGCTGCCCTGGGGAGCCTGTTCAGTGCCCAACCACCCTCTGGGAGAAGAACCTTTTTCTAATATCCAACCTAAACCTCCCCTGGCACAACTTCAGGCCGTCCTGTCACTGGTCACCACTGAGATCAGACTGAGATGAGTCTCCCCTCAGCCTCCTCTCCTCCAGGTTGAGTGGACCCAGCACCCCCAGCGCTGCTCACCGATCGCAGTGCCGGCACTGGATGAGCAGGTCGTCCTCCACGTACTTCTCGCGGCAGAAGGGGCACACGACGAGGCTGGCACAGGGCGCACAGTGGGTGTAGTTGTTCTGCCACTCGCAGTGGAACCCGGGGGACGCGGCCCCGCACTGCACACAGCACACACACCTGGGGAGGGAGGGAGGGGTGGTCCGAGGGGTCAGCGCCGGCTCGGACAGCACCCCCCCGGGGTTCCCTTCCTGCCCCAGCCACGCACCACTTGCACTTCCAGCCGCCCTTGGGCACGGTCTGCAGCGGGGGGTCCAGGCAGTACGTGTGGTAGCTGATGTCGCAGTCGTCGCAGAGCAGGAGGCGCGAGGGGTCCGAGGCTTTGCCGCACACCTCGCACACGATGCACTCCACGCAGCGCCAGCCCTTCAGCAGCATCACCTTGGTGATCTGGGGACGTGAGGGGTGGCACCCGTGTGAGCCCATGGGGGTCCTTGGGCTCGGCGTGGCCACAGAGGACACCCGAGTGGCTCGGCACGGCTGGGGGACACGCCGGGCACGACCTCGTGTGTGTGTCCCACGGGACACGGCCAGTCCCCGAGGGGCACAGCGTGGTGCTATGGGGTCAGGGGTCCCAGGCCCCCTCCTCACCTTGCTGTTGACACAGTAGGGGTGGTAGCACTGGGAGCACTGGGAGCAGGCGAGGAGATGCCCCTCGGCCCCGCGCCCGAAGCTGCCGCACACCACGCACATGTCCTGGGGGGGGGGTCAGGAGTGAGGGGACAGCAGCGGGAGGGACACAGACCCTGTCCCACCCCTTCTGTCTGTCTGTCCTGCCGTGCCCCAGTTACCTGCATGAGCACAAACTTGTCGGTGTTGGAGAAGAGGACGACCGTGTTCTGCATGGTGTCGTCATCGTCCTCGTCCTCCTCCTTGCTGGGCGAGCTCTCCACGTCAGCGAGCTGGGGGCAGAGTGGGGGGCTCAGCACCGAGGTCCCCCTCTCTGTGCAGTTTAGGGGGCACCAGCCAGTCTAGTGCTGGACTGGGGGACACAAGAACACACAGGGACAGCAGACCCCCTCCCCAAGGGGAAGCTCCATGCCTGCCCTGGTCTTGTAGGGTGAAGCCCCCAGATTCAGCAAAACCCCAGGCAGCCGCACCTCCCATGAGACCTCCCCCCCACCCCACCCTGAGGGCTCCCAAACCTTTCTGAGGGACTGGGATGGCAGGGAAGGGGATGGGGGAGACTCTTGGCCCTCACCCCTACCACCTAACAACTCAAGGACCCCCCTGCCCCAAGTCCTGCCCCAGCCCAGCCTTACTGCTAAAGTGTCAACAGACGAGGTGGTCGACTTCAGGCGCGCACGGCCCCGGCCCCGGCCCCCGTGGGACCCACCTCGGGGGCGCCTCCGCCCAGGGAAGCTGCTGCTGCGACCCTACAGCCGAGGGGAGAGGGGGGGTTACAGTTCTGGGGGGCCCAGCCGGACCCCCACGCAGCGGAGGGGCACAGCCCCTATCCCATGCCCGGCGAGGGGGCACGGCCCCGGTGGGGTGCTGAGGGTGGGGGGGATCCCACTGAAATCACGGCAGGAGGGGTCCCCCTGTACCTGCTTGACCCGGGAGCGCCCCGGGGAGCTGCGGCGCCGGCCCTTGTCCCCGTCTCCCTTGGCTGCCGGCTCGAAGAGCAGCGAGTCGTCGGTCTCGGCGCCCAAGGGCAGCGACCCCCCGTCCTCCTTCTGCAGGCTGGCGTCGGCCGAGGCCGGGCCCAGCTCGGGGGACAGAGACCCCCCGCCCTCGGGGTCCGGGGAGCAGAGCAGCGGCTCCGAGCCGGGGAAGCTGCTGCTCGTGTCCCCCTGGCTCAGGTTGGAGATCTCGTTGAGGATGTCGGGCCGCGGGCGCAGGGCGGGGGGCTCGGGGCACCCCTCGTCCCCGCGCCCCAGCAGCTTCTCGCCGGCGGTGCACACCTCCATGGGGGTCTCGGGGCCCAGCTCTTCTGGCTCCAGGAGGAGGGGGGACCCCTTGGCTTCGGGGTCTCCCCCGGCCCGGCCTTCCTCCACCGCATCCTCCTCGCTCAGCGGCGGGGAGCTGCCGCTGGTGCCCTCCCGCTCCAGCCTCGGCGCCTCTTCCTCCTCCTCTTCCTCCTCCTCAGGCAGGCCCGGGAAGGGCCCCAGCTCCGGGGCTGGGCTGCCAGGGGGGGCATCTCCGGGGGGGCTGGCTGGGGACTCCCCCTCACCGCCGGCCGTCTCCATCTCCTCGTCCTCGGGGGGCTCGGCGGGGGCCAGGGTGACCACAGGGGAGCCCAGGGGGGGTGGTGGGGAGCTGGGGGGCTCGGTGTCCATGGCGGTGCCGGGGCTGCCAGGGGGCTCGGGCAGGGCTGGGGTGGGAGGTTCGGGCACCTCGTCCTCCTTGGCGTCAGGGGAGGGGTCTGGGGGTCGCACGGGAGAGATGGCGCGGAGAGCTGGGGGTGGAAAGGGGGGACGGTGACATCACAGCCCCCCCCCAGAGACAATCACTCCCCCAACCCCAACCCCAGCATGTCCCCAGACCAACCTGGGGGAGCTGAGGGTGGAGGGGTCATCTCAGGGGGCAGCGAGGGCTCCGGCTCCAGCTCCATCTCCTCCTCAGGGGGCACCTCCGGAGCCAGGGCTGGTGCTTCCTCTGCCACTGCCACCTCAGGAAGGAGACCTGTGGGATGGGGACATGGGTGAGGGGGGTGACAGGGGTCCCCTCCACCCCCTGTGCCACCCAGCCTGGGGCTGAGACACAACAAACCCCCCCCGAGCTCCCCACGTACCCCAAAACAGGGCACTGACACCTGAAATGAGCGTCAGGCAAAGCCAGTGCTGCTGAGAAGCCCCCAGTGTGAGACCCCCACACCCCCAGGAAAAAAAGGGAAAGGAGACAGAGTGAAAGGTCCCCAAATTACCTGGTGGCTTCAGGTCCTCCTCAGAGGGCAGCTCACTGGGGAGTGGCTCTTCGGGGGGCAGCTCATCAGGGGGAGGCTCTTCGGGGCTCAGCTTGTCGGGGGGAGGCTCTTCGGGGGGCAGAACTTCGGGAGGAGGTTCCCCAGAGGGCAACTCATCGGGGGGTGGTTCATTGGGGGGCAGCTCATCGGGGGGCAGCTCTTCAAGGGGCAGCTCGTTGGGGGGAGACTTGGGGGGCGACTCATCGGGGGGCAGCTCGTCGGGGGGTGATTCGTTGATGGGCAGCTCCTCGGGGGGCAGCTCGTGGGGGGGG